CACATCAATCCAAGTAAGATAACATCGCAGAGCAATGAAACCATGGTCTAAAACTACTGCCAAACTGCTACAGCAGCTGCGCAAATGCCAGGGAACGAAAGAAATTAGTGTTTATATGGTGTAAAGGCAAATGACAAATCCTTCAAAAGAATGGAGGGGCTGACCACATACCTGGACAGAAGAATCGAGATACCACTATTTACAGTAATCTTTCAAGAACGCATGCTGCAATTTTCATTATGTCCTCTACTCTTGTAGCGGTGGATGAAGATCCCTAAAAGCAAACCAAAAAGCATATCGACACGATGTGAGGCAAACAAGGTCTGGAAATGTGCAGCATCTATATCCATATCACCAGTAAAACACAAAGCCGGAAAGGTTATGCGGAATTACGCATCATGGCCCTAGGGTGACTGAAAGCTTCAGCATGTAGGCTTGAGTTTAGATTAGTACTTTGAGCTTAACCACAGCCGAAGCATCTAAAATTTGTAGACCCTCTTAAACTTTTAGCTTTTTAATCTGCTATCGTTTCGTTCAGCTTCAGCTCGACCCCAAAAAAAACAATCATCCGAGCAAAGATCGACTCGTTGTGAAAGGTCTGTGACGAACGGATTAGAACTGAGCAAAGCCGATGCGGTCACCTGCTTCATCGCTAGAAGATACGGTCACATATACAACTGCTCTCCGGAAGATCAAACCGTAGAACACACTACTGCTGATTTCAGAGTCTGAAAGTTCAACTGTAACGTGACTCCACGTGACTCCTGTCAACTTATGATAGCATCTCAGAGATCAGAGATCATCGAATGGCTAAAAATCTCGACCTTCCCGTTCGCTTGGCGCTGATGTCACTTCTCGTAACAGGACGGGACAACTTTTCCAGACAAAATAGCATAAAACAACCTCATTGCTCTGAAGTAGCAACCACGAATGGCAGCTTCAAACTCCATGAGTAAATATTGATATTTATCATCGATACCACGTCACTTATGTGGTATGATATCAATCAAGTCTCTACTTCTTTCACGGCAGTTATCATTAGCATAAAATGAACTAACAACAAATCACGAATTATAAACAAATCAAAGGTGTCCAAAAAAGATAAGAAATACTACAGTAGAATAAATGAATTACATGCTGGAAAACGCATGATATTTCAGAACATATAATTACTATGTACTAAATTATTCAAAAGAAACTATTAAAACTTGCTCCTGAGCTCTTCAACAATCCCTTTCTTTAAGGAAACGTGGTTCAGCATATATGGTCAAATATCAAGTCATGTTCGGTCTTTAAAAAACTTCATGCCTTTGCATTGTTTATCGACTCTGTATTGAACCTCATGCCAAAGCACCTTCGACAAGCTCTAACCACCGTAATAGCCATGAAGTCTGTCAAACACTCTAAACAAGGGATAATGTGAAAGTGAGAATTTAAGGTTGAATGCTGGCAAACTTTGTCCTTCCTAGATGACACTAGGATCATATATCCAGACAGAACGTTTGAATGTCAAAATCTGTTTTTGTATCTGAAGAGAACCTTAAGCATAAGCACTGTGCCGTCTTCTTTCAGTGCTGAGTATGAAGATTCAAGTTTAGTGCAGACTGCTGCTAAAAGTTTGTCTGCAGCAATGTCTTTAGACCAGAAGTTCTGCTAACATAATGAGTCACGCGTGCCGCCTCTGAGAGTAAATGGCTTTAAACTAATCCATAACAGGTGAGACTGCCCAAACAAGTTGTTTCGTCCATGTGTCCCCGGGGTTTCCTACTTTGGCATCGCTGAAACTGAAATGGCAAGATTGACTTGCGAATGTACATAGTCTCAACAAGGGCATTGTGGTCAACCATCTGCTCATAGTCAGCGTGCTGGACATAAACAAATGACAGCAAAAAACAAGGGTATATATGATCCAGTTATGCAGACAACCAGAAACTCTTCTGCTAGCCAACCACCACCGGGGCTATTCTTACTGGATGATGGCGGATTCACACGATCGAAAGTCGGTGGAGTTCAGTAGTCAGTCAATCATAATTAAATTGTAGTCGACACCAGCGGTATAACAAAATGTCACAATGCCATTGTGTAAGAAAGTTATCGAAATATACAGTTTAAGAGTTTCACAATGCAAACTCCGTTTCTACCGCAGACCTCGGTAAAAAATCTGCGGCAGAAAACGTTCCGAAGAAAATGACTGCCGCATCAGTAACAGCAATACCGGAGTAACACAGAGGCGACAGAAATATCACCGAAACTAACATGGGGCGGGTGTTCTTCAAACGAAGTTTTCGGACATAGAAGAACGCTTCTTTCAAGATTAACATGATTAACTGGAGATGGCAAAACGAAATCTAGTCTTAAGATACATTCCCAAATAAACGAATAACTGTCTCAATGTTCAGATAAAAAAGCAGATACTGCAGACCACTGAGACGAGCCCTAAGAAAGCAAGAGAAAATGTTTGAAGGTAAAGAAACACTTTCAAAGCACTGTTTATGCTTTAATGCAGATGGCTAAGCTTTCCACGTCGCTGACATCGGCGAGAGGGTCTGCCAACTCTATATTGGCCACTGAAGCAATGACTGCGGTCTCGAGACGACTGAAACTATTCAGTAGGTGAAGTTTCGGACTCACAATCGATAGGCTCCGGGTTGAAGTCCCAGTCAGGGTCACTCGCCTTCTTCACTCTGAATTTGATAAATGAATACCATTCTGTAAGAAGGATACAGGAGACTACACACGGTGCTTGCTACAAAGCTGCTGTAGAGTCTGTCTTTAAAATACGGCATTCATAGCTGATGGCATGGCAATGGAGTTCAGCGTTAGACCATTAAATTCATGAAAAGAAGGGCCCAGAAACGATCCCGTCCAAAAGTTAGATGGTTACACACTTTCTTTCAAATGTTCAGTCAAAGGAGTTAGAAAGCCAACACAACATACATCACAAACCAGAGACGTTCTGCTTATGCAAATGGCTCAAGGTTGTAATTAAACACATACATACATCAGCAAGCTTGAAAGCTTACTGCTTGAAAAAAAACTCATTTTTAGAAAACACACGGAAGAAAAATAATAAACCATATAAACAAAATACAGAATTAATCCCAGACAAAGCACAAGAACTATTTGTATAATTATCATACTTTAAGAATAGATAAACAGGATTAGTTGAACTACTTACATTGAACATGGTCGCAAAATGTTGCTTACCTTAGTTCCAATCGCGAATGCGCGCTTAGGCAAGGAAAATGAAGTTTTCCACGCCTCCGTCCCAACATATCTGATCTGGCAAATATACTGGGTGACCAGCACTGTGTCAGGCTATCATGTTATGCATGGGGGGAGGGTAGTTGCTTAATGCATTGTTATCTGTGCCAATACCGTGTGCAAACGCTGATTCAATAACACGCACTGCCAGATTATATTTAAAGGAGGCCACTAAATCTTGACAAGAACTTAAGAGTGATATTTCGCATATAGACGAGGAAAGCTGACTTCTGACGCTTGTTCATGTACAGGGAAAACAGCAGAGGTGGCAAGACAGAAGCACACCGAAGTTTGGAAAGAGCGAAACTGAGGCAAGATCACAAACTCAGCAAGACAACAAATACCAACTTCTCTGGCAACCGATTAACGCAAAGAGAGCTGGTCATCGGAGAGGGCAGCAGAAAACCTAGACAGACTTTACTAAAAGCAGCACCTGCAACATGCAGACCAAAACTACAACGAAATAAGCATATTCATACTCCACTACAAAGGCTACAGCTAGAAGATGACCAAAAATTATGCGAGAAACACCCGTCATTCAGAAGATGAATGACTTTATGCGGAAAGTCTATCGATATCGACGTCTGCCATGGAAATTAAGTGAATCGTTTCGTCTTAAAACGGCGTTTATTCGCTTACTGCAAAAACACGGTAGCAATAACTGGAAACATGAGAGCACATGGGAGAAGAGGCGCAAAGCAAAAGTAAACCTGTGAACGCGGCTGACAACGTATTTTTTTCTGGTACTATCATGAAAAACCAAACAAACTTTTTATCCTAGTTTTTAAAAGTTTTTCAGCCATTTTTTTAAAACCTAACGATACACTGCAAGACAAAGTGGAACCGGAAATTAGGAGGTTGATTAATTAGCCAATTAAGCTACAGCCTAGTCAGCCATTGCCATCGCTGATCACCAACGAGGTTCGTACCTTCGCCTATGTCTTGCTTGTTGGCAAAGACCAAAATTACCGCGTCGCGCATCTCTCGGTCGTTGATGATTCGGTGCAGCTCCTGACGGGCTTCGTCGATGCGGTCACGGTCGGCACAATCGACGACGAAGATCAGCGCCTGTGTGCCGGTGTAGTAGTGCCGCCAGAGGGGACGAATTTTGTCCTGTCCGCCGACGTCCTAAAGAATAAGCATGTGTAGATTTTCAAGATTTCGTCCGCGCCATGGTGGCTGTCGTCGTCTTTACTAACCCACACGTTGAACCGGACGTTCTTGTAGGTGACCGTTTCGACGTTGAAGCCGACCGTCGGAATCGTCGTCACCGACTGACCAAGCTTCATTTTGTACAGGATCGCTGTAAGCAGGCATAAGTTCTGATCAATCGACAATCATCGCAGTGGACAAAATGATGGCCGTCGCCCACCGGCGGGACGGCGTTCAGCACCTATACACTTACTTGTTTTGCCCGCGGCATCCAAGCCGAGCATCAGAACGCGCATTTCCTTGTGACCGAAGATTTTTGACAAGAATTTGCCCATAACTCGCAGCGGAGGACGACGACGAATCGCGCGCGAGCGTCGCTCTTCTCTGAGATCAGGTCTGGTGCCGCGGACCGACAATGAGTGACTCGCTCCCAGTGCTGCTGTTTAGCCGTTCAGTACTAGCTGCTGCCACTGCGTTCACTTATTGTCTCCGGTCGATAGGTACACGATCACTGACCGTCTGCCCGGCACTACGCATTTTGGTCAACGTTGGCCTAGGCGCATTTCACCACTTTCTGTTTGAATAGGACCGTTTACACTAAATGCAAACTGATTACGGTACTTATATCATTTAGAACCATCAGGTTATATTTATACTGTAATGAAAAGGAGAAACATTCTAGTCGTAATTGGAAAATACCATATTTTTGACCACGTTTCTGAAAATTTTCCTTTTACTTGTATTCCTTAAACTAATGGAATGTATAAAGAAAATGTCTGCTTTGATATCAACAAAATTCTGAACTTTTAAGATCTTCAGACATACGGTACACTGCCAACTACTCATTCACAGAAGGATCTGTTTTTCTCAATGCGCAGGTTCACATTGTCTTGATCATTCATGTTGCATAATGACGTTCTCATTCACGTTTAATCATTTTTAGTCCCGTTTTTTTCTTTAGCCAAACAAAAAATTCAGAGAACAGCAATACCCTACCATCTGTTGTCTGCGAAAGCGAATGAATTCCTTTACGATTATACCCTGCCTCTGGAGCAGTTAAAACAATCGTGTACCGCGGAAGCTGAGCCACTTGAGAAGGCCTCACAACCTCAACATTTCTTGTCCATGATTTTTATCATGGACAATAGCTGTAATCAAGAGCTTGAAAGATGGGTTTTCCTTATGTCTTTCACTTTCAAAAGGTTCTCGAATGCTTTGACTCCCTGATTTGCAAGTCACTGCTCAAATACGTATTCGTTACTCTGTTTCAAGCCCGCTTTTTTCTATACTCTAAATATAGCTACGTTCCCAAGGAAACATGAAAATGGGAAAAACAGGATCCAACGGCAACAATAACGAAACCTACTGCAGAACGGCTGGTGCGACTCCAATGACTATGTCTTCTGCTGACTCAACCAACAGACACATTGGCCGATCAAAGGAAAACGTTTGCACACTTTCATTGCTTCAGGGAAGCAGTTATGTCTTGTTGACTCGCCACGTCCTTGCCTCTCCCATAGTATCACATTGCAAGAAAGCAGAGCTATCTGTTATAGATGAGAAACCATTTCGATCGATTGAGCGGAATCTAAATAACTGAATCCGAGATGTTGAAGAAAAGGAGTATCGAAATCTTGAGAAAACGGCGATTTTATTAATCTGTTAAATATCATGGCCATGAAACTACATTTTGCCGCTAGAAAGCGTGCTAAATTGGAATTCGCCATTTATGTGATAGAGCTTTTGCTTGTCTTTTATTACTTGCATAATTTTGCGATTCTAATAATACTGTTGTCAGGAAATCAACATATTGAGAAACAATGAAAGATTATTGTATTGTAAATGGTTATTTAAACTAGGTTTAATTATCGAATCGAGACGTTGAAAATTCATTTAATTTCAATAACTGTTTATCCTTTCGGGTTGCGCAGCTGGAAGCGCCAGATAGCATTTATGAAGTTCGTAATCTTGTTCCACTATTTGAGCTTCGGCAGAAAATAACCCGATTCTAGAACAGAGTTCCTCTGCACACTTGCCCTAGGTATTTGCTGGCATTCCACCAGGTATGCTCCTGATTGGCTGAAAAAATCGCTGCTTCAACTCCTCTTTTGGACAGTTTCACTAAGCGTGTCCTGGCTACTCTAAACGTAACTGTTTAATCTGGTAGAGTTAACATGAACAGAATGACAAACAGAGATCCAACATTTTCTCTTAATATGCGGTGACTTTATTCCGTGCTACCGCGATTTTAGTAAAATCTTCCTTTGATGAAAGGGTTGGACTCAAAATATTGAACCCTAATGAGAAAACGACCTCTCTTGTATTTTAAATGACTGCCATTTAACAAACCGAAAATGGATATCGTCTTTATTCATATATTCTGATAGTCATTTGATTTTATATAAATTGCATTACTTTTTTATTCAAACCAATATGTTAAATCTTTCACGAACTTGGCTATCAAGAAAGTTTTCATTCTTTAGTATGGCGTGCCTTCAGCACACTATGCAACTCATACTCGGGTTCACATTTCTCGTACTGAAATGCACCCTGTTCGAAAGTTTACTGATTACCCGGTTAGACTGAAAAGAACGAGATATACATAAAACAGCAAGAAAAAATTTTTATGGCTACATAGTAATTCAATTTCAGCGATCTTAGACGAGCGCAAAAAGTGCAAAATGAGATCACGAAGGTACATCCAAAATTAACATTTCCAGAAAAATTTCATTCAGATTTTGACACTGACAACGTATACCACAAGGATCCCTTTTCGACCCAAGGTCAACTGCCTTCCAACACGCCTACCTGTTACTGACAAAGGAACAAACCTGAAAGAAAAACAATCTAGAGACAGAGGACGAACAGAGACGGTGAAAATGATGTGTTCCATTTGGCTGGAATTCGCAATGAGCTTTCCTTTCAGGATGCATCAATATGAATAAGTACCTACGCTAGATTACGCATATACCCGCATCTGAACTATCTGTGAGAAAAATACAATCAAACATGACAGCAATTACAAGCAATGCTATCATGCGCACACTAGCGAAATTCGCTACATCACAACACACCACCAAATTCTTAAAGCATTAGTCGTGCATCAGTAATCTTTTACAGGTATAACATTACGCGACAAGTCAGTCGATTTAACCATGACTCTGTGACAACCAGAATAAAAACACCGTAGACATGCGTAGCTCTTTAGAAAATGCGATTTCATTCAATGACAGATTTACTTTACAGCCTTTTCGTCATTTCTTTGTTACTGAAGTTGTACGTTTCTTGAACCTCACACTGGAATGGAAAATTCTCTGGCGAATTATGCAAACAATGACATTAACCCCATTAGCGCACGCATCTACGGGAGTATAAATATACGTGCTATCGACTATTCGAGCTGTAGATTGGATTTGCTATCGGCTAGCAGCCTTAAAGAAAGGAACGAAGCAAACGTACTAATGATTAAAACAGCACTTACGACCAACACATTTTTCATGCAGTAGAAAGATGCTAATAGACATTTCAGTCATAGTCAGGAACATTTGTTTTAAAGGTAAAATCGGGAGCCTTACGAAACAGAATAAATTCTCGTGCTTTTCTGATTCATATAATGTACTATTGCCAAGCTGATAAAGAAACATTGTTTTGAAAGTTTTGTGTAAAATGAATACCGCAGATTAGGCACACTTGTTAGCATATTCTTAACCACTTTGAATCTGATTAAGGGTTACAGAACTAACAAATTGTTGACTGCTATATGCATCTTGAAAGGGTGAAATAGACGGCCCACGTCGAGCACAAATTGTCGATTGCCAAAAGCTAAACAATAGACGAATAAAATTAATATCTACAGTACCCGTTATTTCTTTTCCACACTACCTACGAATTCCAATTTGAACCAGATTTACAAGTTCATGAGAAAATTTTCTTGAACAGTGGAACAAAAACAAAATCTGTAGAGTGAACGACGTATTAATAACAACACAAGTGTGTATTATAATTCTAACTTTGCACGGGTTGGTCACGAAATTTTACATTAAAAAAAATTCATGAAAACACCGTAATCAAGATACAAAAACCTGACTTATCATATAAGAACGAACGCGGTTTATTATATATAAACAAATCAAACAAATTCACAAACTAGAACATAAAGCATGAATTAAAAACATGATTGTAATTTATTAAAAGGGCAAGATTTGATTTCTGAAATAAAACTTCTTCGTAAATCAGTGGTAAGCATTAAGAAAATATCAAACTCTATTTAGAGTCAGACTGCAGTTAGACTGAGTCGCAGGCCGACTCTAATCGGGATTTGGCAATTAGGGACATTTTTAAAATTCTGTTAATTTCTACATCAAAATATTTTGAAATATAGCATAAAAATAAATGAACAGAAATAAAATTACTGTTCTCAACAAAATTCGAAACATTTCAGTTCAAAAGAAAACAATTTCAAGTAATGTTAATTCGACGCTTTCAAACAAAGTATTCATTACCGGTCAAGTTGATGAGAAAACGAATTGCCAGTCAAAGGTCCTTCCACCTAGAGAACATTTAGCAAAGAACGACACTTACCGAATGCGGGTAACGACGTTAGTCCATTTCGGGCATCAAACAGCCAGATTCTCTAGAAGGGTTGTAAACACTGTATTACGCGTTACACGGCAGTACAGCCTACCTATCACCTGACTACCTGTACAAACACTAGATGACTGACTCATCGTGATCTCTCTCGATCTCTCTCAAGCTGCAACTCCGCGTCATAAGACTTCCCACCGTAAACACTCTAAGCTACCATCTATAAAACATATGATTAATCTACAAACTGACACGTCGTCAAAATCAAACTTTTTAATAGACAGAAACAGGTCACTATAGTATAAAACTATGAAGCACCGAAAGTGAGAATAATTGACATAATAACGTTTTCACATTACAAACTGGGCGCAAAATCACAATCCAGAAGAACAATGCTCCGGTTTGACTGTTCGGGATTCTTTTCACACTCAAACACTGCCTCGCATCATATGTTCATTGTAGACCTCCTAGTGACTTAACATCGGGGGCCTATTAAACCTTGGTACATTTTGTACAGGCCTAAAATAAAGCTACCTAAGCAGGCTCAATGCTAAGAAGCTCGAACTGAGTTGCTTAAAAATTTACAAATTTTACCATAGTAACCGTTTCTGTCATGTTCTGTTGGTCTTCATTTTACCAACGCCTCCAGTAAGATGATCTAAAACGCAGAAGACATAAAGAATATCTATAAAGGAAAATTAACTCACCGAGAGTTCCCATAATTATAGTATGACCCTCCGCCTTGATTCCAAGGTGCAACGTCTAAAATGCTTATATGAGTAACGCAATTTGTTAAGTTGCCAGCTTGCATTTACTACTACCTTGGTTCCATGGGCTTCCACCCCGATTATAGTATGAACCACCACCTTGGTTCCAACCGCCGCCTCGGTAGTCGTCGTAGTCTTGGTCATAGTCGCCGCCCATGCCTGAAGGGCCCCAAGCTAAAACAATAAATTGGCGACGTGAGATCTAATGCGATGGAAGCTCATCGATTCTTACAACGACTGGAACCCATTCCACCACCATAAGGCATCATCATGTCCGAATCCAACCCACCACGCATCATTCCGCGTGAACGGCTGTCGCGATGCTGACGATCCATGTCTTGTTGTTGCATCTTTCTCATTTCTTCTTTGCTGAGAGCCTTTTTAACGTCGCATCGTTTACCGTTAATCATGTGAGATCTTTCCACTGCAACATGAAAAATTTGGCAAAACCATTTATAAAGTCAAACCGTACAAATAACGAAGAAATACATTAAGCTTATGTTTGTCCATGGAAATTCACAAATGGTCAGATAATATAATTCACATCGATTCAAACTTGTGAGGATATTTCGCAACAGCTACGACACAGAAAGGAAAACCCGATGGCTGTCTTGCAACATCAGTGAACATTTTAGCACTGACAGTCAAAGAGGATATAAACGACTGAAAAATTCTACATCAAAGGATTAGCGCAGTCGCGTTCATTCATACATTCACCAATGTGACATTCCATAATGTTAAGTAAAACACTGACAAAAACTGGACATCAACCTCCATGACACCATGGCATCTAAATACAGCGTAGTTTTATCCGGTTTAGCGTGATGAGGAAAACGCGCGTCTGTACATCAAAATGATTTAAGCTCAGTCTCAAAGGCAGACGTTAATGAACCACTGGATTAAGTGTATGAGGGCATCCCCTCCAAATAACACATTTTTTCCGGACACTCTTATTGAAAAGACGCTTTTATCACAAAACAATGAAGAGAAAATTGAGTAAAGGCGAAATTGTTTCTATTTGTCGGTGGAACATATGATGACATGACCATTGGAATGACAATCGAACGCATCAGAAATTCAGCTTAAGTATCAAATGGAGCACTTCAACAAACAGCGAACTGCCTTCCTCCATCCATAAAGAACTCGCTTTCGCAAAGATAACAGAAACACGCCGAGATATTCATTGAACCCATACCCCTGGAACTGCTGGCCAAAAAGAGAATGATAATAAATGCTGACAGACTGTTTCAATCTTTAATGTAAAACGTAATGATAATCTCTTAATGACCGATTAAGAGACACCTAAATAACTGCACTACCATCACTGCACTCAGTTTGTCGTTAGAACCGTAAAGAGACGTTTGAAAACAGATAAGCTAACGCTTCTTTTATAGTATCAGAAAATGTAGCGCAAGTAATATCGTTCAAACCACAACGATGGTCAAAACTATGAAAATGAGACAAATTATTACAACTTGTACATAATATCATTATCCGCTTTTTTGAATATCGATTAACTAATTTAATGTCCATAATTTATGCAAATACGACACTAGGGTCGCCCAGTTGGTATGGCGTCGGATTTAGAAACGTGAGGTTCCAAGTTAGTACACCATCGGCTAACTCGAATACTTCCTTAATAGGTTGATGGATGAG